ATGCACCTACTGAGGCCACAAGCGAACGCGCTTGACAATCATTCATAAACCACAGTCACCTATCAGACAGTGAGTTGCACGCGGACTGTGAGTACAACGTCAGTCCGCTCCCTATGGCTGGGCTAGCCCCGAGACGGGATAACAGGGCGCTGCAGATCAACCAGCGGCTACAGCCACCCGAGAAAGCAACTCCGGATTTTGTACACAATAAACCCTCCTACGGGTGGCTTCCAAAGTTACGGCCTTCTTATTGTGTTCTTACTTGGGGATTTCAACGAGCGTTATTAGACGGTAATACCACCGAAGTCACTGTTATAACATTTAATACCTGCAATTATATGGACCAGATGATGAATTGCTGAAAACATGTGTTGACCAATATGATCTCTAAGTCGCAAAATGGGAATATTTGCAGATTATATTATACACTAGAGGTAGGAAACATGTTCGCACAAAATATGAGTGATAACTGACCTTGGCTTCTACATCGACGATACCGCACTCCGCCTGCTTGAGTTCCGCAATCAATGAGGCCTCTCGAAGTAAGCTAGAGTCCAGTTTATCCTGAAGGCTCGCCAGCATGTCATCATGCCTGCTTGCCTGTCGGGAAGCCAGTTCTTCATGCGCGGTAAGTTCTTTAACCTAGTAGAGGGATGAGCACGCACTTAGTAAAACAAACATGATCGAGCATAGAAGACACTACAAGGAGGCAGGATGTGAGAGAGAGGCGACCCCGTTAGCAATTATGAAAACAAAACTAACAATGAGATTATCGGTTGACCTTCTGTTGAAGATCCGCAATCTGTGTTAAATACTTGGCCTCAAGGATCCGGTCAGACAGATGTTGGACATCCAATTCCGAGTTTGAAGATTTGCCGAGAATCTTGGACTGCAACAAGCCAGTGCTGGTGCGAAGGAAGCCCTGCACGTCAGGAGGTTTGCTGGCCTTTCGTCGACCACAATGATCCTCCCAGAGTGACTGAATTTCGTTCAAGCGTTGGCGCAGTTCCTTCATCTGTAGCAGACCTTCGGCTTCACGCAACTTAACTCGCATCAGTTCGTCCTGCAGAACCTCGACCTGTTCAATGGGTTTTCGAAGGACGTTTTCCAGCTTCTAAAAAGGTATTAAAATAAGAAAATAATAATATTGCTCTCATGATCACACTGACGCCCGTTCAGTTCCAAGCCAAGAGAACAAAAATATAAATGAAAGCAGGCTTGAATCGCATAGTCGAAGTTAAGCAATTAAGCAATGAAATTAGATTCACAGAGTAAAAGGACAGGATGACGAAGACACTTGCACGAACGGTATATCTAGAAGCGAGATCTGTTCGCAGTGAGGCTTCTGAAACGAAGGCTTTAACAATGCTGACAAATACCACAGCTCAGATGGACTAACACTGGAAAAAGCCGAAAAACGACCAGCGTTTCCAGACGTTTTAGTACCGCTAAACTCATTGGCAAGTATCAGTATCAGTTTATTGAAGGAAAGATAGGCGAACGCCTTTAAACCCCCTATTGGTAACAAGATGATAGGATATATATGGATCCAATTACATAGTTGCGAGTGGAAACAGCGGCAATTGGTTAATCGAAATAGTAATAAAACATGGCTACTAACGTATCACGAGTAGTACAACGTAACGCAATGTCTGTGTATGCCTGTCCATTGGTTAAGTAGTTGGCTGGGGAATGATGTGTTCGGTGCATGTTCAGTTTGCTCTTAAATACATTAACACAAGTGGAGAGGACAACCTGTTCGGGAAGGTCGTTCCACGCTGCAACCACGCTGTTATTGAAGAATTTTCGTCCATCGATCCTTGCTTTGCAGGGGCGTAGTTTAAGGGAGTGATCGCGCAAAGTGGGCGTATTGGCCTGGGTAAAAAATCGTCGGGGACAGAGCAACAATCCAGGTTATTCATAATACGGAAAGTCAGTATGAGGTCCCCTCGGAGTTGCCTGTAGGAAAGGGGAAATACGTTGAGGGTTGACGGTCTGCTTTCATAGGGCAGTGTTCCTAGACCTTTGAGCATTTTTGTCGCTCAGCTCTGGGCCTTCTCTAAGACGGTGCATTCTTTGACAGTCCAAGGTCTCCATGTCTGTTTAGCGAATTCTAGGTGTGGCCGAACGAAACTACCAAATAATTTGGAAGAGGTTTAGCATTGCTACAAAACACGAAATCTGCCTAACTAGTAAACGTGTTCCGGGATGGGATCTAAGTGGTGACATCTGCCATTCCGAACTAGGATCGA